TGCGGCTGGCACGCTGGGGTGCACGCCGGCCCTTCGGGCTCTGCTCCAGCTCCCCGTAACCCGCCTTTCCCGCCCGGGTTCCAGATCAAATCCCAACAGAGCGAAGTAACCAGAATCCTCGATGGGAAAAACATCAAGTACGAGCTGGTGGATATTTCCCAGGACAACGCGCTCCGGGAGGAGATGAGGGCGAAGGCAGGCAACCCCAAAGCCATTCCACCCCAGATCGTCAACGGAGACCACTACTGTGGGGTAAGGCTCGTGCTCTGCGCTGGGGATAAGCCCCTCGGAGGGTGGGTGGTGGGCGATAATCCCATCCCTTTGGTTTTAGAATCATAGAATGGTTAGGGTTGGAAGGGACCTTAAAGATTTTAAGGTCCCTTAAAGCTCGTTTTGCTACGAGCGGTCTCCAGACGCCTTTCAAAAGGCATTTCCGTGAGGCTCACGGATGAGTATTTGGAGCATAGTGAAAAATGGGACCCAGGCAGGGGTCTCTGGGTGACCGTGGGGCTGTCCCCCCTGTCGTCCTCCACACGACTGTCGCCCCTGCGAACCGGTTTGTGCCGCGTGCCCAGGGGACCCCATGCCGCCTGCGCGGCGGGAGCGTACCGCTCTCTTGCCTTGTGAGCGACCGTGTGGCTTTTCCCCGCAGGATTACGAGCTCTTTGTGGAAGCGGTGGAGCAAAACACCCTGCAGGAATTCCTGAAGCTGGCCTGAGCCCCGGTCTCCCTCCCATCCTGGACTCTACCTGCATTCCTGAGCACCCTCATCTCCGACCACCTTCACTTCCAGGTTGTCAGCGCTGTCCTGGAACTGCGACCTGTATCCCAGCATAGGGAAAACCCATGACCAAAACTACTCATTGCAGCTGCCTCCGATTCCCTCCTGCCTAACCCCGATATCATCTCAGAGGGATCCAAAGAAAGTCTGATGCTCGCTGCGCATGGCCTTTGAAGCAGAGCCGGGCCTGGCTCACGCCGCAGCTTCCAGTGCCTCTGTAAACAGCAAAGCCTCTGGGGCTGTGCGAAGTGCGGCCGGCCGTCAGCCCTCTCCTCTGCAGGGAGAGCTTCTGCTTCGGGAGGGAAGGGCTTAGGCTTGCATCTTACTTCCCACTTCTGCCAGTTGCTGTTAAAATTGTAAATCCTGCTGCCTCACTTCCTTTTTCTCCTTTATCTCAACTGCAGAGATTATGGCAACTAAGTTGATTTTTTTTTTGTTTGTTTGTTTTGGTTGAATGCAAAAATACTGCACAAAGCCTGGGGGTCTGACCACCCACCAGGGAGAAGGCAGGGGCTGGGGGCGAAGGCTGGTGCCACTCAGCAGGCTGCCCGGGAGGGCAGGTGGGCCTAGACGTGGGACCTGTGCCGCTCCGTCCGCCCTCCGCCGCAACGGCGATGCCGTGCCTGGGCTCCCTCGTGAGTGGTGATGGCTCAGGGCTGCTCCGGGACAGCTGATGCTCCGGCTGTCTTATCTTTCCTCTTTTTGAGTCGGCTTTTTTTGCAACCCGGACCAAGTGCATTTTGTTTTCCTGCCAAAAAGCAAGTTTATAACCAGTGTTGTCTTCCGAGATGCTATTAAATGTTACCGTACCTTTCACATCGGTACTCGTGGGTTTCTTTTAAATCTGGTTTTATTTTGACTGCAGGTTAAGCATCACCCTCTAACGATTCCGAGTCATTTCCAGCTGGGAGAAGCTGAGTCAGTTGTACTTGCTGCTGCAGCCTGACACAAAGATCTTAACGCCTTAGATCGCTGCCGCTAATCAAAGGCTCGCAGGACTTGTCTGAATATCCTACGGCGCGGTAGTGCCAGGTACCTCTCTCGAGCGTTCCTCTCTGCGGGGTAAGAGCGGCAGCCCAGGGGGAGGGACAGCTTCAGCCAGGAACGTGAGCCAAAACCAAACCCCTGGCACCAAGACTACCCCCTGGGTTGTAGACCAGGATGTAGAGGGGCAGTGGAAAAGGCTGTTTTATAGGAGGGTCCCTGTGCCCTCGGATCCCACCCCCTTCCACACCAACTCTGCCTTTGAATTATTAATGGGAGAGAACGCTGCGGCTTCAGTGGTTTTATTGGGAGCCTTTAAAGAGGGCTGGGTGGCAGCGTGTGCAGGGCCCCTGCGAAAAGGGAACCTGCCTTGCAGGAGTGGGAGTGTCATCGGCTGGGAGTCAAGTGGGAGCTTGTCACGGCTGAAACGGGAAGAATGTGCTGGGAAAAAGGGGCCTGCAAAGTGCAGCCTCAGCCCAGGTGAGAGGGAGGAAGATGCTTTACTCGGAAGCAGCGAAGGGATTATGCTCTTCTCCAATGACACGGTGTCCTGTTGCAGCACCCAGCTCCCGGCTGCAGCTGCTGCGGAGGGAGGGAGGCTGGCGGCTGCGAGCCTGGGCCCCGCTGGAGCTGGGGGCTGTCCAAGGGGAAGGAGTCGTTCACGTACAGGAAAGCCAGTGGCAGGATCTCCTGGCTGAGCTGAGTCTGGCTCAGCCCCAGCATTGCATTAGCTCAAGGCCTTTTGGGTTTAGCTTCACCAGGAACCATAGAACCGAGCCTGTTCTCTCATGGTGTAAGTGCTGTTGCTATCTGTAGGGAGCAGCTGTGTATGGAAAGCAAGCTGACCCTGGCTGTTTGTCCTGCTGCTACAGAGAATCCCCCAGCCCAGCTGAGTAGCTGCCTGGTACCATGTAAAGCTGGTGAGATCAGCCTGGGTAACCCCCGGCAGAGGTGAGAAACCAGGCCTGGGCTTTGAGCTGACAGAAACGGGCCTGTGCGAGGAGCCCACCTGTCTTGGGTATCAGCGTCCACCCACGAAGGGAGAGGCCGAAGCGCTGCCTCTGAGCTCTTCTCTTTGTCCCAGGTAACAGTTTAATGAACCTACATCTGCAAAGACACCCCTCTCCTCTCCTCCCAGCCAGGGGAGGTTGTAACAGCTGACAGTGCCAGGCAGCTCCCTCCTCTTGCAGGGCTTGCGGCGAGCAGCTCCTGTTAGGAACCGTTAGGCTGTTTGAAGCCCTGTCCCCTCTTTTGGGAGGGGTCCCTTCTCCGTAGCAGCAAGGAGGCGTTGGGGATCAGGCCACATTCCTGCAGGCTCCTGGAGTTGTCTGCGTACACCCTCTGGGGAAAGGTACTGATGATCTCATATGAGTTGGAGTCTCCACCCCTAGGAAAGAACAGCACAATCTTTCCGACACACGGGATCCCCCAAGGTTTTGCCGGCATGCCCTGGCCGATCCAGCTGTGGTTATGTAAGAGCGGAGGGAGAGACCGTTCCGCGAGCACAGGCTGCGCCGAAGAGAAAGGGCTTCCTGCCCAAACCGCGAGCGGCCGTTCCAGGCTGCACAGCTGCACTGGGGAAAGGAGCATCCCAACAGCACTGAGCTCATCCTATGCTCAGACTGAGGCCAGAGCTGCAGAGTGGGAAGAGGGGAGAGCAAAGGGGTCCCCCTCAGCCATTCGGAACTGTCCCCGAAGGGATGTGTGAGCCCCTGGGCAGTGTTGAGTGCGTTGGGATAGGGAGCTGGCTGGGCAAAGCGTGGTGCTTGTCCAGCAGCAGATCCAGCGGCCAAGCTGAAGGCTGCAGCTCAACTTCCAGGCTGCACCACCACCTTGGGAATGCTGGCCATAGTTAGGTGACTGCTGTTGAGCAGCTGGAAGGAGGCAAAGGCAGGGAGGGACCTGGGTCAGGTGGCAGTTTTCAGACCACAAGAGAGTTCTCTCTTCTGCTGTGTCAGCTGTTTGGGAAAGGCAGGTGTGAAACGCTGTGAGCAAAGCGTGACCCTGGCAGTGCTGCCCAGAGAGCATCTCTGGTGCTGGAGCCACAGCAGCGGCTGGCCAGCCGCCCCACCGGGGGCTGGGGGTTACAGCTCAGGCCAATCTGCCTGCAGCACAGCTCCAGAGCCTTGAGCTGCAGCCGAGAAACCTTCCCTGGGGTTCTGCAGAGCCGGCTGGGGAGCGAGGAGGAAGCCCCAGGCCTACCTGATGTGGGCGAGGTGTTGGCGCAGGTCCCCTATGGTCTCGGTGAACAGCATCTTTACGATGTACGTCTGCTCTCCGCTCTCAGACCTGACGCGGAGAGCACAGACGTCGGGGGCAGAAGCTTCAGCCTCTTCAGCTGTCCTCACCCTGGAGGTCAGAAAATCCTGTCAGCTGAGGGGCGAGGGCTCTGCTCACCGGGCAGAACCTCTGGGCTGCCGGGGTGATCCAAACAGGGGAGAGGTGTTTGACGTTTGGGAACGTCCTTGAGATGAAGGATCTGACTGCGGACCAAACTGCCGCTTTGCTTTCGCTGCGTAAAGGTGCCTTGGAAAGAGGGTTGCTGACCTTTTTTAGCTCTTTCATTTTAGATCAGGGCTGGCTGGGAAGTGCTTCGCCCTACTTCTCTGATTAAAAATAATCTGCTTGGGGTGGGGTTTTTTTTCATTAGCTATTTGGGTCTTGTCTTGCCACAAGACTGTGAGTGGAAAAGGGCTGTTAGCATGACCTCCCACTCCGGCATCGGTTTCCTGGAGGGGTTCTCCTATTTAACATGACCTCAAACAGCTGCTTAGATGGTTTCCAACTCTTAGGCCCTGGCTTGCTGTGGGGAAAAGTGCTTCACAGCAATAAACAAGTAACATTTTGGACAACAGAAGCTTTTGTTAGAGATGTAAAAGATGGCAGGTTTACCACAAACAATTTGTTGGTCTCCCCAAAAGACCAAACTTAGCCTTTTTCTCTAGTTCTAAGGTATAAAAGAGGAAAGTCTATTTATTTTCTCAGCTGAAACCCCTGAAATAAACGCTCAGTGATGAAATAGGGGGAAGGTGAGAGCCTGACAGGGCAAGGGGCTGTGCCTGTACCTCTCCAGGGCAGACAGCCTGGGTGTCTCCACCAGGATCTCTGGGCTGCTCCGCACCCCGTCGGAGCCCTGAAACCAAACCAGGTGAACGTCACTGCTGCCTGCTCTGCACAGAGCAACCAGCGCCAGGAGAGTCCAGGAGCAGGTGCCAAAGTGCCACGTGTGCTCTGGTGGAGCCTCTCCGGGAGGAGGAAGTTACGCTGAGCGGAGAGAGGCCTGAGGAAGCGGGGCCACAGGGTGCTGAGCCCAGGGAATCACTGCTGGCCTCATCCTGTGAGTGTCTGTGGGGTCCACTCGTACCTGCTGCGCTGCTCTGGCTGAGCCTCGGACATCCGTCGCTTCTCTGTGTTTTGAGGGCTTGGAAAGCTTGTTGAGAAACTGCTCCGAGGAGACTTTGGGACCTGCCAGAGCAGAGGGGAGATGTGCCCCTGTGTGACCCTTTAGACAAAACAATTTACCCCCAGATGTGGTGAAATGAGAGAGCACAGCAGCCAACAGGGAGAGCTCTAACCTCCCCCAGCTCTTTATTTTCTTTTTACTACTTAAGTAAAGGAATCATTTAGCACAGTTTCTGTTTGTGAATGGCCTTGAGATGAAGGAGGAAGTTCATATAAACAGGAAGATGTTGTTGATGGGCAACGCACTTGTATATTTTATTTTAGTACACATGCATGAACCTGCTATTTTCTGCCGATACGACTGACTGCATTTGACTTTCCAACCCTGACAGGTATTGCTTACCCAGACTGCTGGAATCCAGAAGCAAAATGAGGAATCTGGGGCCTGACCTTCTGTCCCGTATTCCCTCACGGAGGAGGAATCATCCCGTGTTTGGTACAGTTAAGAGCAGTCTGGCTCGAAGATGGCTGCCTCTGCGGAACGAGCTTGTTGGGTTTGATCTGCAGGGTCCCCTCAGCATCCTTTGATGCTGATAAAGGGGAAGCTAGAAGGAGTTTGGCCTTTCAGAAAGGTGCAGGGCAGATACGTTTTTGGAAACCCGCTGATCTTGTGGGCTTTTATTACTTGTCGCGTCTCATTCTTTAGGAGGATTGAATGATGAGAGGATGCCACGCATGCTGCCTGGCTCCCAGCTCCTGAAGCAACACTGGGGCTTCCTCACCGAGACCCTACACATTCCCCTCCTACCAGCTGCACTTGCCCCGGTAAGGTTTTGATTCTCCTCTTTAGGATTTTGCTTTGGTTTTGATGCAGGATTAAGAATTTACCTGGGAGCTTGATGGTTTCCTGCACCTCACTTGATTCTGAATGGCCAACCACTTGGCCGTGGCCAGGAAAACTCCCTGGATGGTCTCTCTCCTGAAATATGACGTCTCTTCTGTCCGTGACCTGTTGAATTAAGGCCAACCGCCATGAGCAAATCTGACTGTTGCAAAGCTTGTTCTTGCTGAATCCGAGCACAATAAACTACAGCAACCATAACTAGGAGTTGTAAACGCCAGATGAAACTGAGAGCGCTGCTTCCTTGGGAGCTGTTCCAGTTGTCCAACCTCAAGTGAAATGCTTTCTCAGCTCCTACAGGCTAACAAAACAAACCCTGGCAGATCCCCCGAGTCCCTGGGACAGCCCACCCGGACTGCAGGGTAGTTGATCATCCGACTCGGCAGCCCCTGGGCAGCTGCTCCTTCCCACGACTTGTAAGAAATGTGATTGGACCTGATGTTTCCTCCGTGTCTGCTTCCACACTTGCTAAAGTTCTCTGGCAGAAAGCGATGTGGAGGGATCGAGGGATGTCGAGGAGGGATCTGGCAGTAAGCAGCTGCTGTGGGGACAGTCAGGTGGCTCTAACAAACCAGGGAAGAATCATAGAATCATGGAATGGTTTGGGTTGGAAGGGCCCTTAAAGACCACCCAGTTCCAACCCCCCTGCCATGGGCAGGGACACCTTCCACTAGACCAGGTTGCTCCAAGCCTCATCCAGCCTGGCCTTGGACACTTCCAGGGATGGGGCATCCACAGCTTCTCTGGGCAACCTGTCCCAGGGCCTCCCCACCCTCTCCAGGAAGAATTCCTTCCTGATGTCCCATCTAAACCTCCCCACTTTCAATTTAAACCCATTACCCCTTGTCCTGTCACTACAGACCCTTGGAAAAAGTCCCCCCCCAGCTTCCTTGTAGCCCCTTCAGGTACTGGAAGGGGCTCTAAGGTCTCCCCAGAGCTTCTCTTCTCCAGCCTGAACCCCCCAACTCTCCCAGCCTGTCCCCATGGCAGAGGGGCTCCAGCCCTCGGAGCATCCCCGTGGCCTCCTCTGGACTTGCTCCAACTGGTCTATATCCTTCTGATGTTGGGGGCTCCACAGCTGGACGCAGCACTCCAGGTGGGGTCTCCCCAGAGCAGAGTACAGGGGCAGAATCCCCTCCCTCGCCCTGCTGCCCACACTTCTCCTGACAGCCCCTGTTACGGTTCGCTTTCTGGGCAGAGTGCTGCCCCGAGGCACGTGGCAGTGGGGAAAGCTGTAAAAATAGGGGCAATCTTTCCGTCTGGGTTCTGCTTATCTTCCCCTGACACTGTCTGTATCTCAGGTGGATGCGCTCTGTGCCTGTGTTTACCCCAGGTAACTGTCCTGTGGGCTTCCAGACGTGACCAGCTATGCACGGGTTATAGGGAACCACAGCCCCAAGAGCCTTGCACAATCCTCCTTCTTCCACCGGAGTACCACACCTACCACCTCACCCCGGCTGCCCTGACATCATACTCCGCCGCTGCGCCCTGCTTTCTTCGTGGCAGTGGGTAGGTGCACCCCTCTGCTTGTGCCTGCTCACGTTTCGCCTGCACTTGAAGACCTAGATTTGCATCCTCTGAGGCTCTCCGCCCGCTTTCTGCCTGAACATGTGGCCTTGGCTTCTTGCTGTTTCTGAGAAATCAGAAAAGTGGGGCCCAAAAGAACCTCAGGTGGCCAAATCCATTTAAATTGTGCCAAAATAAACTCTCCCGACGTCCACCTTGAGAGATACTTGTTCAATCTGGTTTTTAAAAGGTTTTCTAGGGGAACTATTTGTGATTTTTTTTTTTTTCTCTCCTTTTTGCTACACAGCTCTGCAGAGGCTGCGTGTACTACAAAGCCTGCCGTGCTCTCAGAAGTCTTGTTCCAAATCCGGATTCACTGAGGCAGAGAAACCCTTCGGACTCACTTATTTCCTGTAACGGCTCTAGCAGGTGTGTTCCCAGCCACCCCTTCCCCAAGACACGCGTGTGCCGGTTTTAGCTGCGTGTATGCCGTTGTTCCGAAACCTCAAGTTCTAATTGCCATGGGAAGGATCCAGCAGATCGGTGAAAGTAAACCTGAACGATTTTCCCGGGAAGCAAGAGATTTCTTTCGCAAAGGTGACGAATAGGGTTTTGCACGGCTTACCTGCAAAGGGATGCCGTCTGGGTAGCGCGTCTGCAGCTCTGATGGGAAATAACCCTCCGTAATGTCCTGCAGGCATTGCTGAAACAAAATGAGAGCTCGTGGTCATACCTCAGACCTTCTTTTTATCTCATGAGTGACCTATTCCTTCTGGGCCCCTTGTGTTATTGCTGCGCAGAAAAGTCTGCATCAAGGACTTCACCTCTAAAAAGCGCTACACGAAGAGGTGCTGGTGTGTAAAGGCACCGTGGGAACGCAGGTGAGAAGCTGGAGGCCTCAGTAGCTGCTTTTTTTAGGACTGAGATAAGATCACAAGCCCTTTTCCTACACATGCCCTTTCCTGAGGCTCAGCGAGTGACAGCAGGACGGCTGGTTTGTCGCCAGCCCTTTCCATACCTGTGTGGATGGGTCCTCGTAGGGCCGAAAGGGTCCGTTGGACATGACGATCCCATTTTGATACAGCGTGAGGGGGACAGGTTCTGGCCGTCTCAGCCGAGCACCCCCAGGCGTGTGCTCGATGTGAGAAATGCCTTCTCCAGCCAGCACATTCAGATCCTTCACCCTTTCCAAGACCAAATCAAAATCAACCTGGTGGTCGGCAGCAGCTGCTTCGCCTGCGGCAGAGGGGTCAGCGTTAACGGGGGGAAGGGGATGCCAGCTGAGCAACTTGCACCTCTGTGTGCATTTGAGATGCGTTTGAGTCCTAATATTTTTTTGGGGCTGTCTGCACTGCCTCTCCATCCTTTTGCCCGTCGGTCTTTGTGCAAGGAGTGATGCAATAGCACTGCTGCGGCTGCCAGGTTTACAAGAATGTGTGCAAAACCACGAGGGCAGGGCAGTGGGGAAGCAGCCCTCTTGCTGCAGAACTCCAGAGCCAGCTGGAGACGCCGCCACGCTCGGCTCTTGCCTCTGGGGGTACCTGCAGAAGTGTTGTGTTCCACCTTAATGTCGTGCTTGTAAAAAAAGTTGGATTAACCAGACGGGGTAAACGGATGAGGGCAGGTTTGCTGAGGGAACGCCAGCGTAAACACAGCCTACTCCCTGCCGCCAGCAGATTGCTCTCTCGCTGAGGGTGTTTATCTGGGTGCTCGAGGAGGGCGGTAGGTGAAGCAGTTTAGAGTTGTGGTGGGATAGAAGAGGAAATGAAAGAAGAAATGCAGGCAGATGTAAAGTCTTAGTATTTTCTGTTCTCCTTTTTTATTATTTGATAAAGGAGGTGTGGAAAATCTCCCTTAAAAAGGGAGCTGAAAATGAAAGTTGTTTCTATTGCTTCCCTTGTCTTCTCCCCTCCTGCATCCAAGGGAGGGAAGGGTGGGTTGGCTAGTACGTGCATGGTGGTTAGGAAACAGCGTTGCCTCTAGAGCCCAAGTATGATTCGGTTTTTTCCTCCCTTAGCACTTCCCAAGAAGCCATTGCCAAGTAGGCTTGGGCCCCACAGAGCACAGTCAGGTCTCAATTAAACCACTCACGTGGCGCTTGGGAGGAAAAGCAAACAATAGTCTCCGATGGAGCCAGACAATACGGGTAAGTTACTACAGCTACGATATACACAAAGCATCTGATTCTGTTTTCCACCCATTTTACGTCAGCGGTGATAGAGCAATCAAGCGTCAAACGTGCATGGTATGTGAACTCTTTGGGAAGCAGCTGCTGCCTTAGGTATCCTTCCAAAGGGCTGAGCCGGCGGGTTCTCTGCTCTTCCCCTAGGCAGAGCTTACAGAACGTCGGTACACAAAATACCAAGGTTCTGCCTGGCTTAGCTCCTGTTAAATTGCTCCATGTCTCTGTCCCCGGGATGGACTGGTGACCTCAGCACCCGACTGCAAGTTCTGAAGACCCAAATTCTGGTTCTTTGATGCTTATCTACTCTGGGGAATGTCATACCTTCTCTAAGTATGCAGCAGGAGCTGGGATAGCTGCTTCAGCAGAGGGTGCTGGGGCTTTACCTGGCTTCCACAGGCTCCTTGCTGGCAGCTCTCCCTCATCCTTGAGCGATTCTAAATCTTGTAGCTGTTCATGACCCTCTCCAACCCAAATCAGACCATAGTCATTTAGAAACCGCTGTGAGAAGAAGAAACAAATCAGTGTTGTAGACCAGAGCTTCAGAAAACTATAAATGGAAGCCTGAGGGTGATCAGCTGTGACCATGAGAAGCAGAAGAGGAGGTGAGAGAGGAGGATTGTCTTGGGCCTCTGTGGCCTTGGCAGACAAACATTCACTGGGTGAGTCGTAGTAGCAGTTCTACTAGCAGTAGGAAAAGGGAGAATGTGAAAGTCTCTGTAGTGACACAGCAATCTCCCAAGACTGCAGCAAAATGTATTTCTACAGTTCTAGAAATGAAAAGGAAGAGGCCTGCAGGAGGCACAAATGTTTCTGTATTAAAAACTCCTGCTGCCCTAGTTGCCCATCCAACCTGTTCTTTCTTTTCGGGGGGGTGAGGTGAAGAATTGTGATGATCAGAGTGCCAAGCAGCCCAGGACTGCAGTGATCTCACACCAAAGGTGCAGGTGGCTTAGGGCAAGTGAAACAGGTGTCTCACCTCCATCTCCCAGACCTGGGTCTGCAGCTGAAGACACCTAATTTCCAGTTCCTCTGCTGTGGATGACTCAGGAGCGCCTGGAAGGGAAGACTTGAGTTTAATATTTACTATGTACAGCCTTAAAGAAGAGCTATAGATAATCCACGTCACGCAGACGCCCCAGCAGCCTGTACCGTAAGTGACCTCGAGCCCGTACGACACAGGAGCGTGCTGCTCCCTGGCAGTTCAACCTGCAGCACAAAGATGCTGGCAGACTAAAACGATGCTGTGAAACTACCACTGTGAACGATACTGGGGAAGCTTTATGCTGCGGTAAGCTGATGTGAGCGGTGCCGTTCGCAGTTACACCGTGCGAATTGCCCGGCTTACTCAGTCTTAAGGGACCTGTTAAGAAAATGAGCAGGTGTCCACTAAAGCTGGGTCCACAAACCTAGGCTGAATGGCTAGAATAATGCACAGCGAGGTACAAAACACATGTTTGTGGTTTCATGGACGTTTTCCTGTAGGCTGCTCAGGAAATGAAGAACTCGCCACAGCTTTGTGCTAACAAGGTAGTTCAGCCGTTGTAGGAAACGTGTCCGGGCTCAGCTGGAGAGCTGCTGCATTCCAAGGAACTGAACGGAGGGGAAGACCTTCAGTGACTCACTCAAAGCTGGGTTCAATTTAGGCTTAGGCTGCCTTATGGGACAAGTAAGCCTGGACCTGTAATACTGTTTGTGACTCCAAGTCGATGTTTGGTTTCGCTTAGCTGCGAGTAGCCCTGTTTTTCCAGCTTGTTTGAACTCTGCAGTATTTACCATTCTGTTTTGTGGTTTGTTTGGTTTTTCTGACTATCCTCAGGTATCTCTGTGGTTGGTCTATGCGCATGGAAACTTGTAGAAAATAGGTCAGGAAATAATGTTTTGCGCTGTACCAGAAAAGCCGAGTAACAGATGCAAGTATAAAGTGCAGATCTGCTTTGGCAAATGGTTCCACGTGTGTGTAACTGATACCACTCACCAGAGAGGCTCTTGGGCTTCTGAGGCAAGGAAGGCTCAGAGGGGAGGTCTCTGGGCCTGCTCTGTTGCAGTACCACGAGCTCTCTAGCTCGCCCACAAGTAGAAGCAAGGTACTAAGGGTAGACCAATTTTTACCTTCTCCTTTCTGAAGAATCCTCATCTTCTCTTCAAGCTCAGCAATCCTCCTGTCCTTCAAGACCAGAACAAATAATGACCTTGTGTAGTACTTCGGCCTGCAGGGACCCTGAGGCACTAATTAGTCCTGGCTGCTTGAGTCAGTGGTACATGTTCTCCCACCCCACTCAGAGACCGGCAAAATAGGGGTCAGAAAGGCTCTATCACCTCACTAATACCTTAATTAGCCTCAAACGAGGGGTGGGATATAAACACACTTCTCCAAGAATAGGTGAGCGACACGCTGATCTATCTTCCCCTCCTCCATCTGCACAAGAGCTGTAGGCACAGACACCCACTCGTGCCTCTGTGTTTCCTGCTCAGGCACAGCCCGTGCTCTCACCTGCAGTAAGTGGCCGATGAGAAATGAAACCCCCATCTCTGCAGCTACCACTTAAAAAGAAGCAGGTATTTATTCAAAGCTGCAGTGATGTGAAGAGTTTGGCTCCGGGGTGACTCTGCTGTATGAGCAGCTGTTGTTTCAGAAAGCAAAAGGAAGAAGCCAAAACAGTTCCTGGTATCAGTGAAAAGGTGCTCAGAGTCTTCACTTTAAGAAGTCGCAGCAGGGACTGTCCACTTTCCCACCCCGTGGACTGATACTATTGCTCTGTTGCTATGCAATTTGTGTAATTAACAGAGCAGGCTACAGATTAACTTGTTTTGGCCCAAACGGGGTCTGAGCAGGTGTAATGGTACTGTGGCTTTAACTGTCAATGCAGGGCACACAACAGGTTTGGTAAGGGGCAGGTTTTTTACCTTCAGTTGGATTTCTTGTCCTTGTTTCTCTATTTTCTGTTCCAACATAGTGATTTTTTGCGTCATGGAGGAGATGAGCTCTGCGTCGGTGTGAGCTGCACCTGAAAGCACAAATAGGCCTTATCTCTCTGAAATGGCGATTGCTGTTGGAGGCACCTCTGCACCATAGGGGACTCCACTCAAGAATTATTCTTCTGCCACAGCAGGTAGGCCAAGGGTAAATTTTTGGGGTACTGGGTAGAAATGCCTTGGCTCCTGAGTGGTAGGGAGATGGCTGTGTCACTGACAGCACGCTGGGTGAACACCAGAATCAGCCTTGGCCCGGGGTATGGAGTCCACCGGGCTGTCACTGCGCGACTGTGATGGCCCAGAATCCCCGAATCGTTGAGGGACTTTACCCTGCATGTTCTTTTTCAGTGCTGTCCCCCTCGAGCAGGAGGGGAGACTGCCTTGCGCTGGATTCCTTGTCCGAGGAGACAGGCTGTCATCTTCCCAGAAGAGGCACAAAGAGCATGAAAGGAAGAAAACAGGTCAGTGTTTGGACTTCTCCCAAAGCAGGTAAAGGAATAGTGGGGTTATGCTGAGTGAAGGAGGGGACAGGAAAAAGCAGGGTGGCCCAGTCCATTCGATCCCAAAAGCACTCTCAGACTAATGAGGATGTGAGCACTCGCCATGAGCCAACACCCAAGGGAAAAATATCCCAGCAGCTGGGAAGAGAGAACACAAAGTGGGGCTTCCAGAAAGAGACGCTCGTACAGAGCATCCTGCACCACACAGCGAGGCAGAAAGTGGTAATTTTGAGCTAAAAAGCACAACAGTGGAATTAACAGAAGCAGCAAACTTCACTGGGGGTGGAAAGGAAGTTTTTGCCCTAAGACCTAGCAGGAAGGATGTGACTTAAACTGGAGCTGTAAAAATAAATGCGGCTCTGATGTGCTTCAGGGCTTGCTGAGGGTGTGGAAATCTTTTGTTGCTTACCTGATTTTGGACAGAAAAAGGAGAGGAAGAGCTACAATCATTGCAAAACGTGTAGGATGGTAAGAAAAGCCATACCAGTGGAGGCAAGGAACTTGGACAGCTCTACCCTTTTACGTATTACTTTTGCCAAAAATAAAGCATAGGTTCATTAACGTTGGGAGGATTTGCTTAATGGGCAGATTTGTTTAAATGTAATTGAAAAGGCTGTCCAAAAAAGCCCAAATTGTACATTTTTTTCAACAGCCCATCTTCCCAGTCTGTACATCCTTGCTTTCTGGGCAGGGTGGGTGTTCATACACCCACAGCTTGTAATAACACTTAAAATCCTCGGGCTGCAATCCGTGGGAGCTGCAATCTGAGAGCAGAGGGGGTGAAACCCGGGTGGGCGAGGTGCGGCGGTGCCTGCTGCCGTCAGGGCGGGAGTGGCTGAGAGAACTAACACTTGGGATGCCGTTGCAGCCGCAGAAAGCAA